TCGGAAACCTGAACGCGCTGCTCCCAGGGGGCATAGGAGAGCGATCGAGGAGCTCAGCCTAGAGCACGAGGCAGGCCTGAAGGGGATGCAGGCTGAACATCAGAGAGAACTCGATGGTAAGCATCACGAATGCTCAATCAGTTTTGCGAAATATTAACAACACAATTGAATCTCAGTCTTGGGACAGACGATAGAACAGCTCAATGAGCGGCACGAGCGAATCCTGACGGAGCAGAGTGAGGCTGCCAATCAGGAAATCGATCTTCTCCAGATGCGTTTGCGAGAACTTGGAGAGAGAACTAAGTAAGGCTGTTGCAGAGTAGTGATGCAATCGATGCATTCATGCAGAGTTATGCACAACCATCTCACTCACTATCGCGAACTAGACGATATTCACAGAGGCCGTAGAGACTTCAATAATCTCTTCATACTAGTTCTGCACAATGATGTACCACGTGTTCTTGTCCATATAGTGGGAAGCTGCTGCCATACACTCAGCAATACTCTCCCATTTGGCTCATCAACTACGTTGCGGTCATCCTTGGAATCGAACAAGCAAGTTATATACGGATAGTGAATGAAGAGAGAGGTGAGCTGCCTAGCATAACCTAAGCCATGTGACATGCGTTGTATGGAAGGGAGCCATATACGCAGCTGTGATGCATGTGATGATGATCATTCACAGAACGGTACGCTGGCTGAACACGAATTGGTAAGGAAACCACTGGTGGTGGTAGGTATTAGATTTCAGGTTCGAGTTACTGTAGAGATAATAAATGATACGTCTGATGAAGAGGAGCTATCGGAGATGAGCAAAGAGTAGGCAGGGGCTTGAAGCAGATATGCTAGGGTGTTGTTGACATCCGTTCAATGAGACTGTATCCGCTGATTGAAGATGGTATTGTTTGATTCACTGATTGACTGTTTGATTAACTCGCCCGTAATGAGTCTGCAGTCGTCGGCAAGCACGGCTTCTCTTCGGCATACGAGTAGCGTACCTCAGACTTATCTCGCGCTCGTCTCTAGGTGCGGGTATGTCACCAGAAGTACATCCCGAGAACTGAGGGATCGTCTTTCTTCATTATGGCTCCAACCATGTTCAAACGGTGCATGCCATTCGACAAGTGGGGAGTGTTTCCTTCACGAATTGGGAGTGCAACAGATGGCTCTCCTCCATGGCTCGCAGACTGTCGTATTGGAAGAGCCATACGCTCGAGTAACTTTCATTGGTGAGAGTTTTGTAGACTTCTGAGGAGAAGCTAATAATGCTTGTAGGCCGTGTTGTATGTGACATCTCTGCTAAGCGTTTGGTGCTCACGGCCCATCACGTCTTGATTGAACCCAATACTGAGCCCGCAATACGGCTGGTGGCGACTGACAACGAGACGAGGCGAGTTTTTCTGCTCTACATGAGATCATCCGAGCTCTCTGGTGATCCCGAAAAGAGCCTTCACGGCCTCAAGAATCGGCT